TATATGCGAATGCCTTACTTACAGTCTCCTTCTGCTCTAAACAGCATCCTATCAGAGAAGTGACTGATACCTAGAAGATCACAATAAAAGTATCACCATATCCAATGTTTGTCTTGGTGCTAGTGGATGTGGGAAGATGCAGGCTGAGAAGGTAAAAAAACCTACAAAGTACCTCCTTGGGACATGTCCTCCCCCCAGGAAGACCAGGCATCTGCTGTGTCTGCCAATTAAAGGCATAGATTCAACGCACAAAGGGTACCGTTTAAACTGTGGATTTAGTGTAATGATGGTGTTTAGCACCAAGTGCCCTCCCTTTCCAGGTAACTCTTCCCCTATAATTCTTCCATTTTGTGATAGGAAGTATCCAAATAAAGTTAACAGGGGGGGGGGAGGGGGGGTGTGGAAATGTCCAAAGACAGAAACATGGAATGAACTTAGGAGTTTCACAGAGCAGGACAACATTCACAGGGTGTCCTCCTGGTGTCTCGGACAATAGCCAGAAGCAAAAGTGTGTTTCAAGAGGAACTGTACAAACAGGCACAGGCTGGTGTCTAAGAGGGTGACTGAACTCATAGCCAAGGCACACGTGTTTACTGTGCAATCCCTGTAATGGTTCCATATTCTACAAACTATTTTAAAATCAGATATTCATGAAGAGAGCCAGAAGTTGCTGGCATTTATTTTAAGATATGAAATAACATTTAACAAATTATACAAACACTTCAAGTCTATACTCATGTTCTCCTCATCTTCATTTCGTCCTTCAATTTAGGAGCCATATATTAATATACATGAATAACTAAAACTTGACTAACGTAGTTTAATTAAAGCATGCTCTGAAAACTAAATTTTCTGGTTTTGACAGAAAACAGCTAATTGCTTCTGAATGACAGGTAGCAACTACCTAAAAAACACCACAAATATCAAGAATAATATTATTTTATCCATACTGTGGTAAAATCATGCTTTATAATACACTAAAGAAATTATCACCAACTCAATCCAACATGTACAGCTACAGTAACAATTTATGCAGGAAAGTGGGTGAACTTCATATTTTTAAGAGATACCCCTTTTTTGCATTTTGCTTGTTACTGGTTTGCTACATGTAAAAGCTATTTCCCCGCACTTGTTCCATATGAGAAGAGCTCCTCTAAGTAATATTTAAGAGTCTGCTAGCTGTTTTGACAACCCAAAAATTAGCTTATTGACACATCGAGTCAAACACATTGTCCTTACAAGACACTACAAGATCAGCTGAGAAAAACAAATACTGAGCTCAGAATGCAGGTGTCTTCCTCAACACTAGTAAGCTGCATAGGAAGATCTCAGCTCTTGTTCAAACCAGCCATTTCCTTTCCTTTCTGAAACCTTAAGTACATAGAACCTGGTACACCACTTAGTACAGTTGTGAGCTTTGTCTTTTACATAACCACACTCACTTTACACTATTTCACCATGACCAAGAATTTTCACATTTAAAAAGCCCCAGGGTGTATTTACCACATTCCCTAGAGGCTGCCACGTGATGAATAGGAAGACATATAGCCAATTTCTTCACAACATACAGCAGCTACTTCAAGAGTAATTTGAAACAAACATACAGTGATCAACATTATTCCAACTGACTAAATATTTTTTAAAATAAGAACAAAGCCATCAAGACAGCATTTCATCAAATGATTTCTCTAGTATGTTGTGGGTAAAAAGCAATCTATGACTGAGTATCAGCAACGATGTACCACCAAACATAGTCTGTATAGTATTACAAACTTGTTTTGAATGAGGCACTTCGGAAAACACAGTAAGACTCAGTCTGACAGTCTATCACCCTTGAATTCATCTTTTCTTCAGTTGGGAAGACACAGAATCTGGCTGTGTACCATGCAGCAAGTTAGTAAGTGATTAGTGCACGGCTTTGTTATTATGCTCCCTGTTGGCAGATACCAATTATCACTTGAGAAAGAACTTGAACTCTCTACACAACATATCCTTACTCATCCCACATAGAAAAAACAGCTGCCAATATTATAAAAAGCGATGAAACACACACCTCCTTTTCAGTTGGCCTTTGTCCAACATTTCCTCCCGCAATTCAATGCCTCTCTTCTTTCTTATTTCAAAATTAGAGTAATTTTATGCTACCGCATGGTATAGAAGTGCACTCAGGATACTGAAGAGCTAGCAATATTTTTTTCCCAGTTATGTACTATTTTAATAATCAAAAGCTCTAGCCACAGAACAATACATTTGATCAATTTTAAATGGCAGTAGAGTTTCTAGGCAAAAGACAATTGTTGGCTCCATTTCTTCAAGCACCTCACCCTTCAATCTCTACTACTTTTATCTCCTCCAGCGTAGGTGACTTGACAAAGAGGAAGAAACAGTCAACAACACAGTTCACATGCTACTTAGACTAGCATTACAGCACAAAAACTTAAGAATAAGAACCACAAAGAACTCTGAAGGATTATACAATTTATTGGATAACTCCCTCCTAGCAGTAGGAAGAAAAACATTAGTTAAGATGACTGCTTTGCAAGCCGTGAAGGACCACACAATCTACAATTGGATCTTCTTGCAGAAGCACGTACAGCAATTTACAGCAAAGCAAGCTTAGCACTTTCTCCCCCTCTCCATCAGCTTCCAGAGTTATTTTAAAGTCTGCCTTAAGTGCCTCTGAAACGTAATTATCTCCAGTCTCAGAGGGTTAACAACTCCCTCCTAGAAAGTAACAAACTGTCACTGACTATGTGATGAAACATCCAGCTAACCTGCTTACCCCAGGTTTCACCATACCATCTTTGTCACCTTCTCAAGTGTCCAAGTTCCAAGCAGTTGACAAATCTTGAACAGTTGTGTAGTCACATACAAACCTCTGCACATTGCACACGGAACACAAAGCCAACATATGATTTTTTTTCTGCTGTGGAATTTTAGGGAAGACAGATTGCATAACAAAGCATACTTTAACTTGTTAACAGACTTAGTTGTTGGGGAAGATGCTACCTCAAAAGAAGTCTTTGAGAATGCCAAAAATCAAAGCTATACATAACCTCTCTTTTACCAAACAGATTTCAGATTCTCATGCCTTTGGCTACTCGAAGAAAGTCTCTTCCAGCAATAACCTCCAGATTACTTTTTCTCATGAAACAAACAGCTTTACATTATTATACTATGATGTCTCTCCCACTTACAGTACCCTTCTGTGACTTCACCCAAGAGATCTTAAATCGTTCTGCTTTAAGTAAGAAAAATTAAAAACATCTCTCCTCCTTAACCAAAGCAAAGCATGTTCTTTTAGCACTTTCAGTTATTTCAGTATAGGTTTTTGGTGGGACATTCATTCTTCTTTCTAGAAGCAACTGGTCAATGAAGCTTCCTCAATGTTAAGTTTCAAAGATATGAAGTACTCATATAGTAGATACTGTGGGAACAAGTATAAGCTGTTCCCAACACATCCCAGTGAAACAGATGGGACACACAGCAGGCAGCTTCAGGTTCAGACATCTGCACTCAGATAACCGTTATACAGGTGCCTGTGCTCCCTCTACAATCCAAACAGATCTGTCTCATCTGCCCAGCACAGTCAAAAAGAGCCTTGACAGCTCTTCAACTGATCCTACATAGGAAGCCACACACAGTGGTGAGCTGAAGAGCTCTTAGAGTCCACTGACCTATATTCACATGCCTGAATCTGGAATTTAAAGTCATACCTGACCAATAAAAACACATTCGAGAGAACTTGGGAGACAAATGACGAAACTTCAAGTTTGGCGCTGAATTGATACGGTAACAGGCACCTTTCTTTATAAGTCTGCCCCAAAACATGATAGTCTTCATTTTTTTTTTTTACCCATCATTTCAAAATCAATTAAGCGCTAAAAACCTTTTCACACATCAAATGAGTTTGCATGTATCCTTTACCTTGTAGATTTTCTTACTTCAAACAGTAGAGGTAAAACTTCACACAGCACTAACTGTACTTCTGTCTAGATAGTCAGTTTATCAGTATAAAGAATTTCAATCCAGTTTCAAAAGTCTGCATTGAAAAGTCTGCATTAGCAACAGGCACTGTAGAAAAGCTTGTACCATAAATGATACCAGAATTTACTAAAAATATGTCAGCCATGGAGACACAGTGCAGATTATATTCTCCAAAGAGAAGTGTATTGAAAATTTCACGTTAGTACAACTAGCAGACAGACTCTTCGAAAGAAGAGTAATTTTAGTCCAAATAAAGGAATAACCATTGCTGGTTGAAAAAGCTGCATCACGCATTTATGGTTTTCCCAGCCACAAAAACCCCTCCTTACCTAATCATGAATGAGTTCAAATACCTAGAGTTGTATTGCTTGTAGTACAGACAGCAACGTCTGAATAGACTGACCTTTATTTTCTACACATTTTAGTAACACATGCTTGAATTTGAAAATTTATTTCTAGTATGCCTTACTGACAAGCTTGGAAGGAAGAACTACATTTGAAACAATAGTTCTCATAATTTTGCCAAAACTGAGAGTTCAGAAGTGCAAAAATTAAATGTTAAAGGTTTAGTGAAAGGCTGAAACCATCCTTTGTGGTAAATACTTATGTATTGTATTGACGCAATTCAGAAATGTACATAGAATAATTGCCATCTGTGTGACATTTTAAAATCATGACTTCTGGTGACATCATAAACCATAAGTTGAAAGAATCCTGGCATACTCGCACTCAAAATATACAAAGTTATTGGTTATATTTGATTTTTTCAAGAACTTCAGTGCATTCTGCACCAATCCAACTTCAAGGATTTTGACATCACCTGTCTACAGAAGTGAAGTTTCATACATATCATCAAGTGATCATTCATGTACAACAAAATAGCACTTAAAGGAGAAAAATGTTCAGCAACAGTTATTGGCAAGTTACAGGAAAATATATATAAAAACAGTTACATAGTCTATTAGAAACTCAATATAAGACTTCAATAAAACCAAATAAATACTAATTTTTACCTTTTCTGGATTGTAATATAAAGATTTCAAAGTGGTAAACAAGGGTGGGCAGCCTTTACTGAAGTTAACCCTCAGGAACTTATCCATTAGTTCTCTAAATTTTTCACCTAGAAACAAAAGTGTATTTGGTTATATGTCAGTGATTGCAAGTATTATATAAATAAGCACTATTTGCTGTGCAGCTCTGGATAATAGAGTAACTGAGAAACTGCCATTAAGCGTTTTCACCTTTCCTGTTATTTAAGAAGATGCAAATATGCTTCGGACAAAAAAAGATCAGAGTAAAATGCGTAAGTTGCTAGCGTTTAGGAGACTGCCGATGAAGACATGGGAACAGTCCTCAAACCTGTAAAATCTATTAAAAAGAGCAAGTCTTTAGTGCTGGCTACAGAGGATGTAGCAAGGGCTATTTAAACAAACATTGGAAAAAATTATAATGATAAGAATAACTAAACACTGGAATGGATTACCTTGGAGATCTTGTAAAAGCTCCATCATTGGAAGTTTTATGATTAAGTTAGACAAATGTGTGTTAGGAATAGTGCAGATATAAATTATCCTGCTTTGAGGAAGAAGGATGGATGAAATGAACCCTCTACCTCTCTTCTAGTCCTATTTTTTACGAGTAGGACATGACTTCCGATGATAATATGATTGTTTCTGGAATCAGAAACAGAATAGAAGACCGGGTTTGAGAAGGGTAAGCATCATATGAGAATCACCTTTATAAAAATATACTGGCAGAAAGCTAAAAATCTGATTTAGTTATGTTTCCAGGTAAAAGTCACAGTACTTGCAGTATGCCACCTTTCTGAGGAAAGCTGTTTCCAAAAAAAAAAAAAAAAAAAAAACAGGACCTCAGGGAGAATATATCCAGTTAGGAAAAAAGCTGGCTTTAATGTTTTTATTCCCATGATGAAAAGTGGTTGTTTTCAGCTATTTCCATGTTGATGGGTTTGTTTGGGGTTTTATTTTATTTGGTTTTGTCTGCTTTGCATAGGGATGAAGTTGCCACACTTTACTGCCTACTCTGTAGTCGACTTTTACATGTCTTTGAACAAGGAAGCAACACATTTAACATCATGCTAACACACACAAAACTGTTGAAACAAACTTCAATTCATTAAGAACACTACAAATTTGCTTAACGGATTGTTTTATAGATATTCAGAAAATAAAGATACTACTGCTTTGTATAGAACATTTTTATGTACTTCCACCAATTCTTAGTTGTCCTACACTTATTGTTACCAGCGCTGTTACTGAGACTAACAAAAGTAATTTGTTTTCACCTCACTGTACTGAAACAAACTGCTGCATATATAAACTCTTACTACCCGTGGATGGGGATCCACAACTGGACTATAAGCATATTCTTTACTACAGGTGGATTAATTAAAGCTTATTTTCTTGCATTACAAGAAACCTCCCCAGTAAGACAAAAAATCCATCTCAGTTTCTCAATTTCTTCCACTGAATTATTCTAACTTATATTCTTGATGGAAGAATTGTAATGAAGAATTCAAGAAAGGAAGATTATTCAAGTTTCCATTAAGTAAATATTTATTCATAGGAAGCAGAACAGCTTTAAAACAAAATCTGAAAAAACTCAAAACACATGCATAGGTACCCTCCTGTGACATGATGCCAAGCTCAAAATTTAGTCCGAGGCACAGAAGAGCTGACTACAGGAACAGTGAATCCACAGCATTAGCACATCTAGAACTGGATGGCCAGACTCTACCTCCCCAGCCTTGGTCAGTCTGCAAATTAACTGTTAACACCCTTCCTCCGTGAAGGTGGTTTCCAGCTGGATCAAGGTGCTGATGTGTATCCAATACAAGGTTTTAATTAAGATGCAATGCGTGGCAAGATCTAGGAAGGACTGCCCTTTTAATACAAACCTGCACTTTAGGGCATTTTGAAGCCAATTCTGAAGCAATCAGTGTTGGTTGCAAGCGGTCAGTGACCACACTGAAACAGCAACCTCATTTAACCAAAAACTCTATCCTCCTGGAATTTGCAAATACATTTCTGCAACCAAGTTTGTTTCTGCACCTTCACATTCTCTTTAACTTTTGCCAACAGGAATTCTTATCTGCTGTAGTTCTAAACACAAGAAATCATGTAGTAAATAGATTCGTTTCTAGGGGATCAAAACCAGTCTTATACATCCATGACTCAAAGATTAACAGACTAACAGAAGTGCAAGTTTTAATTTAGAAAAATTCTTATTTGTTATGAAGCACTGCAGAAAGCAGCCGTCAAATTTTTCGCAATTGATCTAATCATGATTTTCGCTTTCACTTACGCTACTGCTACAGCAGAATCAACTAATCCTGATTAGCAAACACACTTCTACTTAAATGAACATTAGCTGTGAAACTACACTGTCAGACAGAAGGCAGCCTAGTGCAATACATACAGTGAATTCAACAGCAAAACACACTATTAATAGAGACATGGAAAAGAGTTTTGCTGGTTGTTTCCTTGTTTGCCATGTATCACTAACAATTTTATTACATGAGAAAAACAATTACTTGTCATCTAGTTTTTTAAATCTAGCTGAATGGCCTTAAAATTTGCCATTGTACCTTCAAAGAAAATTAAATGTCTGGATTAAGTAAGGCACAAGTGGTAACTTCAGGGCTAAATCTCTTATGAAGCAGTTAAAATCCTATGATTTTACAGAGGAAAGGTGTATGCACATTCAGACTCCTGAACAACAACAGAATAGTGGACTAGCTATGCTCTGTAACATTTCAATGTACAACAAACACAGTACTCAGTGAATAAGCTAAATGAAAAATTAACCTCACAAAATTAAAAGGATGAGCAGATACGCTGGGAATTTGTAGCTGAACTTAAAAATGTCACGAAACTTGATATCTAACTTACATACTTTATATGTATTTCCAAAATTTTTTTAGTGAGTTAGAGCAGTTGGACAGCTACATACCAAGCATATATTTTTATGGGATTTACCATTTCATTTAGCCTCCTTCCTTCTGTTTTGGAAGATCACAGCTCTCTGTTTTAAAAAGTATATACCTATTCCCTCCAGAACTGAGGATATTTGTGCACTGTATTTCAAAACAACTTTTGCAAGGTCACTGAAAGAACTTAGCTATAAAATTAATTTGTGCTACATAACAATGCTGACCAGCTCTTTGTTCCTATTATTAAATTATTAGCACAAAGTTAATGTTGTAGATTTACATTCTAATGGTTCTACAACAGTGTTGTACACTCCACAAGATATTCAGACTCACAAAAAATGATTTGGTGTTTTCTGTACAGTACAAAACTATTAGAAAATTGATCAGTCCTATGCCATTGTGATTGTTACATACATCATTTACACCTAGTTTCAGTGTTTATAAAATATAAGTTTGCATATATATATATTAAAGAACAGGAGGGTTGTGTATATACACACACCCCTATGCCTTTAAGTCAAGTGTGCTATACCCCTTGCCTTTTAACTTATGATTCTTAACTTGCATGATGCAGAAAAAGGATGTATAAGAATTCCTACAGTCTATATACCATTCTGTACTGTAGTTTTATCAATACAAACGATGTTACGTTTGTATTACCATATTCACACACATGAACTTTTTCTATCATCTCCTAAAACATAACAAATAATTTTGTCTATTCCAAGAGAAATGTCCCCATCTGATTTGTGTACATGTACAAATAGATATTAAATGCATAAATAGGTATGAAATGCACATTCAACAGCCTGATGAAAACTTTAGAAAACCACAAATAAACTGTTACAGAACAAATATGCAACTTGTTACCTGAAACAAAGTTTAAAGGTAATCTTCTAGGTGAAACTGCTCTGGGATGTCTTTTACTAACTTCTTCATAAATCTGAAGCCTCTCTTCTAAAGTGCCTATTATCAGTAAATATAACAGATAAGTAACACATAAAAATCTATTCTTCTAAATGTTTTTAAACTGTTGAGAATTAATTTAGCTAGACTTCTTATACGGTTTGGATTTGGAACAATTTAAACATTTTGGGCTATTCCTTCCAGTAAATCATAAACATTACTGTGCATTGAAGACACACTGTACGTACAATACACAACTACCAACATGCATCGCTAAGGATAAGCTGCAAACACTACAATCACCTTGCACACTCTGACAACACTAGAGTTTGGTTTCTTTCAGTTACATGCTGTACAGACCCATTCCCACAGCAGTTTGACATCCATAGCTTCAGCTGTTTTTTCACCATGCATTCAGTTCAGACACACTTAAAGCATTCAGAGAGTGGCTTTCTAAATCATAGGTATACAATAGCATACTATACAAGCATGCCATTATTATAGGTCCTCTGGTGGCAACAAAAACTGAGCACAGTACTGCCAATGTAAGTACTGAGCACCAGAAGTCTTTACACCTTAATGTTTAACAAAAATAAAGCTACTTAAAGATTTTCTCCCCACTCCTCCCCTTTCCCCCATAATATGCTTTGGAGCTCCAATGTGGTTAGGAATTAAATAAAACTAATCTGTTGCTTTGAAATGCCATTTTCTTGTAATTAGGATCAATTTTGCTTTAATATTAAATTCATCAGGCAATTTAAATAAAACTGAATGTACAGATCAAGAATATGACACAACATATATCTGTTTTCCTTTCATAAGAAAAACAAATTATCTTGTCACTGAGCTCAGATGTTGGGGAAGGGGGGGGAATATGTTACCCAGTGGCTCCAAGAGATGTAGAGTTCTGAAAGTTATACTAAAATAATGTTTGGATTGGAACTAAAGCATATAAAAGCCCTAATTGAAGTCACAAGTTGGAGCTCCAGAACTTACCATGGGGGAGGAAATAGTCCTAAGACCACCTAAAAAAATAAAGTAGCATTATTAGTTTTATAAATTAGTACAGTTTTAATCTACATAGGATTTTAATATACCAAACAAACTACTGGATTGCTTCTTTGTTAAGAACTACACATTTTCATCGATGTTTTTATTATACCAAACAGAATAATCAAGCTTTTTTGTAATTTATTTTCCAAGACAATAATCATGATGTTCGACTCTACAGATACACTAGGAAAACCAAAGGGCACCACTCCTCTCTGCATAAATTTAACAAACACCATCATTTTCATTTCCCAATCACAAGCCATATTCCCAGATATTATGAAACCCAACTGTAAAACTTCCTAAAAGAAAGCTGATTGAGAAATAATGCAGCTATAATATTAATGAATAATTTCCTTGTGGGCTTATGATTTATGATGTCATCAGAGTAACTCCAATAAAGCTTCCACCAATTACTGAACAGTGAAATACAAGGAAACCATTCCTGTGTAAAGGTAAATACTTGGGAAAGTTACTACTGCAAACCACTTATCACAGCATAAATTGTTGCAATATTGTAATCAAAAAACCAGACAATTAGCTATTTTCCTGGAAAGATAGAACAGCAGTAATATGAACTAGCATTGGAATAACAAAGATTGTCACATTTATCACCTTTTCCTCCAAAGAACAGCTAGCTTAAGGTTTCTTTTCAGAAGGCCTATCTTTAAAAGGCCATCTGAAATAGATATTTGAGTATTTTTCTACATGGCTGTAGAAAGAGACACCACCTAAACAAGTTTCAGAATGACAGTTCATGTTGTGGTGCATGATATAGTCTGACAATCAACTACTAGACAGGAATGAATGACGATTTGGTTTCCAAATTCATAGGCAGCAAGGAAATGTTCTTAGTGTAAGCACGTTGGCAAATGCCACCTTTAGTTCCAAGGGAAAGATTTGCTGTTCATATTTTCATGCATACAAGTTTTTCACTGAACATTTTTAAAACGCATAAACACAGTAACACCATATTCAAGATTAGAAGGTACATGATTTTCTGCCGAGTAAAACTTTTTAACCTAAAACAGTAACATATCAAACAGGAGTTTGAAGTATATTCTGTATCATACGTATTTTCAATGTATCTGCATATCTTCACTTACTAGGTTGTAGGGCCTTTTCCAAGCCTTCATAATAATACCAGTTTTCTGCATTGCGCTCAATTAACTCTTTGTATACTTCACCAGCTTCTTTCAGTCTTCCCAACTTCAGTAACATCTCTCCTAAAAACAACACAGTAAAGAGCTGTGAATTACATGACAAAGTGCTGATGGCTTCGGAGTAAAGTTTACACAACTAGATACATAAAAACTGGCTTAATCCTATGTAGATATTTAGGATCAGACTTTATTTTTCCAAATACATTAACTATTACAAGTGCTACTTGAGGCTACCACACATATAGCTCAAAACAGTCTGGAGTATTCAGCACCTGTGAAAACAAAGACTATTTGAACACCTCTATCTGAATATTTAAAATAGATATTGGGATTATAAAGAAACAAGCAACTCTTCTTTCCAGGACTCCAACACACGACACTTCTTACCAGGCTGCTTACTTAACTACACCTATATTTTTCACACCAACTAACCAGTTTTTAAACCAGTGAAATCACCAGTTAAATAGGTCTACTGGGTCTGGCTTGCATGAAATTCTTTTTCTTCACAGCAGCCTGTACAGTGCTGTGTTTTGGAATTTGCGAGTGAACGTAACACACTAATGTTCTCGCTACTGCTTGTAGAGCATCAAGGCTTTCTTTTTTACCCCCACTCTACCACCCAGCAAGCAGGCCAGTGTAGACAGTAAGCTGGGAGCAGACACAACCTGGACAGCTGACCCAAACTGGCCAAAGGGATATTTCATGCTACACAGTGTCATGCTTAAGAATAAAAATTGAGGGGAAGGCATGTTTGGGCAGGTGGCCATTGCCTGGAGACTAGTGGAGCATCAGTCTGCTTGTGGGAGGTGGCAAGTGATTGCCTTCGCATCACCTGAGGATCTGGCATTTTATTTTTTTCCTTCACTTAAGCTATCTTTATCCCAACACATGAGTTCTCTTGCTTTTGCTTTTCCTATTCTCTCTCCTGTCCTGACAATGGAGGCTGGGGGGAGCGAGGGAGCAGCTGTGTGGGGCTTACCTGTTGGCCACAGTCAACCCACCACAGCTGTGCAAGCAAGGAGCAGCTGAAGAATATATGCTGTTACACTGTGTAACTGCACATATTCAGAACTCTGTATTAGTACTTCAAACCCACAAAACAATAGTGAGTTATTTCAATCAAAAAAGTCAACTTCAGTATTGATCTAAGGAGGGCAATACAAGTAAGTGCATTAGAAAACTTAAGGAAACAAGAATTTGATACTTCAGTCAAAAAAAAAAAATCAGTGTTTGTACTACAAACAGTATTCTTCATAAGATTCTTCTTCGTGGGATGAAAACTTGTTTATACTAGCTCAGATTTATGGAAAGGTACTCTAGTATGCACCAACATAATCTCCAAGATGTCCTCTGTTCCTGTGTCAGCCCAAGATAAACTACCTGCATCCGCTATCCACTTTGGTAGGGCAAGTTACTTGAGCACCAAATTGTAAAT